AATGTTCTAAAATCTAAAATAAAGCCTGCCAAGAAAAGTAAAGGCTATTACTGCAGCATAGGGGCAGAACACCCTATCATTACATTCACTGGGAGATACAGAGTTAATACTTTTATAGAGATTTCAGGAGAAATGTTGCATGCACTGGTGAATACAAACCTATAGTTTAGACAAATGCAACATTAGGAATTTAGTCCAGGGACTCTTATTGGTATAGCAGTAGAGTTTCTAGCTGAATGGGTAAATGGACTTCTAGGCCCAATCCCATTTCTTACTTCTACCCCTACCCCTTGTTTTTGAGTGTCACCTTGCCCCTTAGAACTGAGTTACAAGGGGTAGAAATCTTCCCACGAAATGGGACCTTCAAATAAAAAGAACATTACTTCATTATCAGGCTACTAGCGGTGCTCTGTAGGTGACCCTGCCAGTCTGCAGTGATAGCAAAGGAGGGTAAAGTTCCGATTTTTTATGCTTGTTATGAAGAAAAGGACCATAATACATTAGTTATGCTTAGAATAATTTTTTAATGGAGAAAATTCTCACATTTGTGGGTTTCTTTGGTCTCTTGTTCAGCCATCTTGCCAGTTTTTCTTTTTTTCTCATAACACTCCGCTTGGAGCATGCCCTTGAAAAACCTCTGTTTCGAGGGCCATGTAGCCCTAACCCTTCATCCTACCCCTCTATCTCAACAAAAATCAGGACACCCCTCCCCTAGACGTAAACGTGCAAAACGGAGGGGCAGAGCTAAGTGGTAGGCAAGGGGTGAAAATGGGATTGGGCCCTAATCTTCTGTTTGGGGTAGCACTCTCCGTTTTGTATTTGAGTGAGTTTGAAAAAAATGTAAATGCCATATACTAGAGACTAATTGTGCACCAGTGAACACTGAGCTAAAATATTGGCCGTAATTCAAATATTTGACTGATAATATTAATTATATTTGGTCATTTACATGTAAATAACATGTGGGCCGCTGATATATCAAAGTACTAAGGGTCTGTCTATTTTTGTTATTGCCACAGTGCAATTCTCAAACCAGTGGAACGCCTTGTGCTGTCAATGTCTCCAACACAGACTGTCTGGCCTGAACACACACATACAGTCATCCATTGACAATTCCAGCGTGAATTATTGAACTCAGGGTTTTAAAGCCAAGTCTGCCTGTCAAACACCCTCACACAGCACAGCCAGAGATAAATGATCAGAGGCCATTTTGTCGGTAATTATGTCTGTTACGATGTGTTTTATAAAGCTCTTTAAAGACACAGTTTACTTCGTAACAGAATATTTTAGCCTACATACTCAGTTTTCCTTCAGACATTAAAAGACATAAAACGTCATTAGCCTATAAGTGCAATACAGCAAAATAACATTAAACAGAAAAGACTGCCAGTTCCCTGATATCATGGGGATTATTAGGATCAAAACTGCAGAATGAGTTTCCATCCTGCCCTGGGCAGCTCAGTAAGAGTCAGTGTGTTCATAAACAGCACAGTAAAACCACAACGTCAGGGTACAGAACTCATGCCTGCTGGGTCTGCCTGAATGTATGCATGAGGTAAACTGTAATCTTTACTGTTTAGCACTGAAAACAGATGGAATTCATAATGACGTTTTCATTGAGTTAGCTATTTAAGGGCAGCTACAGTTCCTTAAAAGCATGAGGTCATGCTGGTCCTGGGCTCTGAGGTAACAGCAGACATAAAGGGCTTCAGTGGAAAGACGCAACAGGACAGCCATCACTCTGTCAGCTCTGGGTCTGGGGTAAAGGTTTAAAGGCATAGTCTGGCCAAAAATCAAGGTTACATAATTTCCCCTTTATCCCTAGTAGAGTCGATCAGCCAAGATGTGCTTGGTGTCCACAGATTGCTTCATCTTTTTGCCCTGAAGCCAACGAGTAATGCAAGCTCATACATGAATTAGCATTGAGCAAACTGTATGCATAATTAATCACACACTGCCTCAAACCACATCAAGTAGTTTCATATACACTTTCGCTTTCTTACACTGTATGACATACTGTTATGTAAAAAAAATAGACAACAGTATAGCCCCTTTCACACACAAACTTTTACCTATGAATTTAAAGGTACTTAAAAGGGAAGTGGGGTAAAGTGAGACCATAAGCTGGAGTTCAGGTGAATTCAGGTAAAGCTGACTCAGAAACTTGGCTAATACAATTGCTGGGGAATTACCAGGAGGGCTAATGGGTGAACAGAAATGGACAAACACAGCAACATCTACATTACAACTGCCAAAGTTGAACATTTAAGTGACACTTTTGTTTTTAGAGTTGAGTTTTTTAGTTTCTTTTCTCAAATGAAAATGCTACAGGACTGTATGTCGTACATGACTCTAGAAAGAAGCTGAAAATTCTACCCTGGTGGTGCGCTACTGCACAAAAATGACAGGCACGGCGGCCAAACCTAGATATTTGCTTGAGGCTTTTGGTTTTACAGTCAAGTTTCCAGTTTTCACAAGACAAAAAGTCACGGAAGTGTATCTTTGCACATAATCAAGAAATGAAGGAGTTGTTAGCCAATCATGCTGAGGACATCATGTCCTGTTTACCAGGACTTTCATAGTAAGAATGAATGTATACATCCTGTAACATATGCATTCTGTAGAATACTGGTTAAAAGCTGCACGTGTGCATAACCAAATATTACTGGCAAAAGTGCCCCAGATTTAGTGTGAAAAAAAAGAATTATTCCATACAATTTAAGACACCTCATAATCAAGTCTGTTTGAGATTATTTATAATTAACAACTTAACTTGAGGAGAGATTGTGATTTAGTTATGCAGTTTGCGGGTTCTATTATTTGTTAGCTACATTAGTCTCGCAGCTCCAGTGCAGAACTAACAAACTTCAGACCCAGAACACATCCCGACTGACCGTGTGGAGTAAAACTGTAAACTTGACATTTGGCCTGGTTTATGCTTCAACAAGTATGAAGCCGCAGGAAGAGAGGCAAAAAGCCACAAAATTTCTGATGCAAATGAGAGGGTGTATCTGACTGAAAGTCTATGAAAAGAGCAGACAAAGTTTGTTTGATCTTTGTTCAGTCTAGGCCAGGGGTCGGCAACATGCGGCTCCGGAGCTGCATGCGGCTCTTTTACTACCCTGTTCGGGCTCCACAGCAGAAGTAGATCTTTTCTACTCTGCTAATATCCTTCTCTCTGTCCATCTGTAGCTCGCTCTTAACCCTCTCAAACATTCTGGCTCACAAATTTTCCAGGATTATGGCTAAATCTTTAAGGAACTAAAAATCCTTGTTCAACATAGGCTGCCAAAACATAAACAACATGAGTTAGTAAACAATTTTGGATAATTCACATTTAATTTATCATCCATTAATATCCCCTATTTCTCTTCATTTTACAGAACCTCTGCAGAACGCTGTGTTGTGCATACTAAGTTTGATTTTTAAGCTATGACGTTTGCTCAAACAAATCCAAATATCATCCAGTTTTGCCACAGAGGGGGAAGCTTTCGTTCTTCGACAGATCCAGCATCTCCCATTTCAAACATTAGGAATGCATCACTGCAAGGGCTCAGACAGCACCAAGTCTGCCAAAATAATCAAAACCTCACATGGCTGTTTAATCAACCACAGAATCCCATGCCAGATTTCAACAGGCCTGGCAATTATGTAAATTACAGTGATCACTATATATTAAGACATCAATAACAGCTATAATAAAGCAATAGGCCTACGTAAACAAATCCCAGGCATGCACTATTTTTGTCCTCTCTCGTTCTCTCCCTCTCTCTCTCTCTCTCCATCTCTCTTAAGGATTATATCTAGTCCCTCTCTCCCCATTTTGTCAGCAGTCATAAAAAGGAAAAGATCCAGAATGCAACACTGGGATTCAGTGTGGGGTAAGCTCATCAAATGCTTTATAAATCACAGCTGATGCTGCTGAAGGCCTCCACTTTACAAAGAGAGCACAGGCAGACATGTTTGCGTCCATAAATCGCACAGAGAGAATGTGCCTCTGTCTGTCCTGGATGCTCACTGATCCTACTCATTCTACAGCTACAAGCACACAAAAAAAGTCTTAGTGATGTGAAATGGAAAATATTTTTAATTAAAAGAATCAGATGAAATATTTTTCCATGTAAATCTTATCAGATTAGCGAGAACACTGTTGGCTCTCTATGTGTGAAATGTTGTGACTTGTGTTGAGCTGCTGGCAAGAGATGTGGGGTGAAAACCATTCACACCTCTACACTAAAACGGCCCTGCTGCGATGAAATGAACAGCATGACTGCAGATTTTCTCAATACGTTAAAAAATCAGGCACAACTGCCACAAAAAAAAATGAAATTCAATAAAAACATTTATAAATACTGACATGCTTTCTTACACACGATGAAAGTCCACTGAGCTTGCGGCTGTGAAAGTCATACACATTTTCTTAATACTCCATTAACGTGACTGAAGACAAAAAAAATCCCTTCTGACTGAGGGACTTCCAAAACAGTCAGAAATTACATATTACAGCTATTGTGAAAAAGGGGTTAAAGGTAAAAGCTATAAAAGACTTTAACTATCATCATTGTGATAATAAAAGAGTGTAAAATGTGTTGCTATCTGTGTTTGAATGTTTTAGTATACTCATGTCATATTATGAAAGGCTTTTTATTGTATTAGTTCACTCAAAGCAGAAGTAAACTGGCTTATCTTACTTCACCTTCACTATAAATCAAAAGGATGGTGTTATTAAACTATACACTACTAACAGCAAAGCACATTGTTACAGATGATTGTATGGAATGTATTGCTAATTGGTTATAGGTATGTAGGGAAGCTGGTTTTCTTCCTGTTTAAGCCTTGCATAATAATAGCCACGTGAAAGAAGGACAACCCGTGAATGAACCATGGACTTACTGCCCCCTACTGGTAAGAATCAGCACTGCCAAAGGAAAATCAGACAGTGGTAGTGAAGTGCACAATTGTGTGTGTTTATGTGTGAGGGCACATGGACATGTACTCACTTCAGGTTGGATGGCTCTGAACACTGGTGCATCCATAAGAGTGATTTGACCCTGCAGGAAAACACAGAGAACACATTAGAAATGTAATGCTTTTTAATCACTCATTATAATGACATTCAATCTAATTCCACCGAAAAACCTAACACGATTCTTGAGTGAACAAATTTAACACATTAATAACTGAGATCTTTCACACTACTACTGATTTCTCAGATTATGAAAATGCAACACTATTTCAATTTCTGCAAACTTTTAGAGAGGACAAGAACTGACCATCAAATCATTGTTGCCTATGCCATCAACATAGCAACTACCAAGATGACACAACATTTGTGTTGCAGTAACTCATGTCTGTTGGCACACGTCAAAAGGATTCAACCGTCCTCTACTTGTGGCGCTAGTATCTCCAAAAGCAACTGAAAAAAACTGGTCAATCGAAGGCAAAATTATAAAGCTGGTTATAAAGCTTCAGCTCCTAAATGAGGTCATGAAAGCTAGCTGCTCCTTTTTCCTTTTCCAAAACAGGATGTAGCCTGTATCTGTGTTTGCACATTTTGTTAGGAACAAAGCACATATGTGTCACTTAAGGAAGACATTTGGGGACTGTCTCACAAAGCATGGTTTAGTATTTAGTTCAGATACTAAAGCTGGGATTAATACTCATACATGTGCAAATAAAAGCATCCCATTTATGATGAACAGTCAATCGTGTGAAACATGAGGGGAGCCGAATGGCTCACTTTTCAAAAAAAAATAAAAATAAAAATAAGTGCTTTATGTTCTTCAAATCTTTGTAGGTACGTTTCTTCCCTCCAAGGCAACATTTTTTATGAGTGACTGATCCACGAACATCACCAAGAAAAAAAGGGGTTCTGAAAAGGACCGAAAAGGCCCACCTCCGACTGAAGGTCGTCCCCAACTGGTCAGAAGCTTGGCCCTGATTGGTCCTGTTGTGCAGCCTAAGATGCTATGGTGATGTAGCATGGTAAAAAGTGATCCATCGGAAAATCTGAAGTCCAGGAGTGGGTTGATGTAAACTTAAAACGTAAAGCTGGTTTAGCAAGAAATTGCTTTGTGAGACAGATCACGGATCAAGTCTGTTTTCTTTGTTTTTTGTCACAGCGCCTAACCTTTTGAACAACATGATAAAACTCGGGAGAAAAAAAATTAGTGTGCACAATTTAAGTGAGAAAAAAATGTCACTTTTCATATTGCTCATCATTTTCTTTGCATTTGGTGTATAATGGCCTTAAAAGTTCATGTGTGTTTACAAAAAGGAGAGGTGTCGTGTGTTCACAGTGGGTAAATGTGTAGACTTTGTTAAATTTATAATAGGCTACATCGTCTTCTCTGTGGTCCTCCATTCTAAGGGGATGTATGAGTGAGCATGTCTGGCAGTTGTATAAATAATAAATCAGGTTTTGTCTGCAGTTCAGTCTCCCGCTGAAGAATGTGTACGCATGGTCACGTTAGCGCATACATGCAGATCAATAATGCATCCTCTCCTACGTGCTCTTCTCCGAGTCACGTGAGTTTGACTATGTGGGTTAGTGAGGAGGAGCATGAATAAATGAGGGAGAGAGCGACTCTGTAGCCCAGATAGAAGCGCTTTCTGAAGAACACACTCACAAGCAGGTCAGCATGTCTGATGTAGGCCTTCCAGACTTTAGGCATGGAATGTATCGAGAGCAACATGAATATACAGGCAACATCTCCAATATATACACACCGGACCCGACAAAAGTTTGGACACAACTGACAATGTATTTTTTATAATCTTGAAAATCATTATCTAAAGGCTTATGCTTAGCCCTTAAATGCATGGACTAAATATGTATCATTACCTCAAATTGTTAATGGCCCAGTGCTTACATTCAGCACTATGTAAGCTACAGACTGTGCTGCAAAACTGTCACAGTTGTCTGAGAAACACTGGTGGGGTACTGAATTTTTTTTCTTTGGGCAAATATAAACAGTGCAGTTGATGCCTATGTTACAAAATGCCCCGAATCATTTTCATTTAGATCTTTTGTGAAATTACAAAATGTTAAAACGCAATCATTATACACTATATGGTCAAAAATATGTGGACACCTGACCATCACACCTACATGAGATCCCATTCCAAAACCATGGGCATTAATATGGTGTTGCTCCCTTTTTGCGACTATAACAGTCTCCACTTTTCTGGGAAAGCTTTCCACAAGATTTTGGAGTGTGTCTGTGGAAATTTGTGCCCATTCAGCCAAAAGAGCATTTGTGAGGTCAGACACTGATGTTGGATGAAAAGGCCTGGCTCACAATCGGCATTCCAATTCGGTCGTGCTGGAACAGGAAAGGCCTTCCTCAAACTGTTGCCACAAAGTTGGGAGTATATGTTTGTCAAAAATGTCCTTGCACATTACCCTTTCCTGAAACTAAGGAGCCTGGCTCAAACCCTGAAAAACAGCCTAAGACCATCATCCCTTCTCCACTCAACTTTCCTGTTGGCACTATGCATTCTCCCAGATTCATCCATCAGACTGCAAGATCATAAAGCATGATTCATCGCCCCAGAGAACACATTTCCAATGCTGAGTCCAAATGTGTAGGTATTAGTTGTTCTATTTATTACTTTGGCATATGCTTATCCCTACAGCTACAACTCCTCACAGTTCAACAGTCTTGCTATTTAGAGTTTTTAAAAAAATGTAAATAAACCTAAGCTGGTTTTCTTTCAAATGATGTTTGGTGTTTTGGTTTAGCAGCGGGTCTGGGGAGAGACCCTACTCCCACTACCTGGTACCTGCCAGAGTCGCTGCTGCACTATGTTAACACTTTAAGCTGTGATCAGCAACTCTTTACAGAACTAACTCTCTGCGTGTTTTCTTTTTCGTTGCCGAGTTGAACAGCTGACCATCCTGCACGTCTGATGCTGTTGCTTCTTCTGCCTTGATCGGGTGCCCACTGCTCACCACCCTTCTGGACCGGTTTGACCACCATGTAGCTTCTCGCTGTACAATGCTGTGCAAACCTCACCTGCATGAACTGACCCTTCTGAGGACACTGCTGCTGCTGCACAGACTCAGACTATTTAATTATAACCATTGCTCCACCTGTTTTTCTCCATTTCTGTATTTTAATATTTTATACTAACACTGTTTGCTATCCGGTGTGGACCAGAGGAGGATGGGTTCCCCTTTTGAGTCTCGATTCCTCTAAAGTTTTCTTCCTCCTGCTCTTAGGGAGTTTTTCCTTGCCACTGTCGCCATTGGCGGCACTCACGGGGGCTCGGACCCAGATTTTTTCTGTAAAGCTGCTTTGTGACAACGCCAGTTGTAAAAAGCGCTATATAAACAAACTTCGACTTGACTTGACTTGGTACGGCCTGACCCTTGACCAAGTTGTAACACCTATCACCACTGTAGTGAACAAACCCTCAGTAGGTTTCTCTGGAATGGCACATCAAAGTACTCTGAGTGACTGTTTACATCTTAACAATTAAATTATGAAGACATTTTGAAATAGCAGCATCCGTCTTCTTCTGGACTGCATTCATGTTGGAAGTACTGCTGCTGTATTTTAAAGAGGGACCTTAAGCAGTCACAGGATTGGAAAGTTTGAAGAGAGCACTCTGATTTCACTATATTTAATTCACGCGCCAGAGGACATTACAGCTTGTGTGACTGACTGCCAGCAAGCATCAATTATTACAGAGACTCAGCTGACCCATTTACTAAACTCTACAGTACAGACAGATAATGTTTTACTGTCTTTGCAGTCGCACATTTGCAACTTGCCTGCGTGAGCGTGCATCTGTTTCTCATTTAATGAGTCTAAATTAAAATTTAAGGAATAGAAATTAAAGTGTGAAAGAGTTTTTGCCTGCAGTGAGTCACCACATCGCTCACACTCATATACACACACACACACACACACACACACACACACACACACACACAGGAGTGTGCCTTACTGCATATTCCTCTGGTGTGACCTTCAGCACATCAAAGACGACAGCATCAAAACTCTTCTTCAGCTCAACCGAGCCCTTCTCGCTCAGAGACTCTGAGCTGCTGCTCCTCTGAAAAATAACACAAACACATTACTTCTTAGCAAAAATGGTTCCGTATAGTACAAAAAAAAAGATTCAATGACTTTCAGAATCCTCCTTGGTGATCTAAATAGCCTTTTTGTAAAAGGTTCTTTAAATAACCACAGACAACAGCCTCCCCATCATGGGAAAGAACCGTGTAACCATTGAAAGAACTATGTAAGCATTCAGATGGTTTTTTGAGTCATCATAGTTCTATACAACGATTGTCTTTACTAAGACACCACTGAAGAACCCCTTCTTTAAGGTATATAGTAAGGAAGGGTGTGGTAATAAATGGATGTCTAAACCCATCTTAGTATTCATTACTTCAGAGTTTTTTTAGTTCAATTGAGCATTCAAATAGAAAGTCATGGGTAGCTTAAAATAAAAAAAATTATCACATTATCTTTTAATTTTCTCACATTGGGCAAAACGTTGACACTTAAGTGGAGCTATGATCTGAAATGTTTCTCATACACATCAAACACAAAAATAAAACCCTAAAACAACTGTGTGATCAGATCAACTCCAAAGCCAGCTGCATGCAATAAATGTTAAACCTTACATTTTTGTTTTCCATTCATAAGAAAAATACAAGAAATGTGTTCAAAAAGCAAATATTCGAATAGCAAACATGGTTAAAAGCCCTTCCCTAAAATACAGCACATCACCTAGAATCACTGAAACACAGGCTATCTCTACCTGACTCCAATCAATCAATCATCTTTTATTTAAAATCTAAGTTCACTGAGAGGGGGCTTCATCTGCAATGTAGCCGAGCATTGAAACAGAGAACAAGGATTGAAAAGAGTAATAAACACTGAAATAAAAAGGTAAAACAGACATATTAAATATCAAATATTATAACCTCAGCTACTCTACTGATGTGCTAAGTCTGCAGTACCAGTTCTAATGTTCCTAATGAAATAAATACAACTGCCATTACTGCAATAACTGTGTAACTGTCATTGCGGTTCAACATGTCCGAGAATGTTAACTGACCTCCGAAGCAGTAGTGGTTAAAGTGGAGACGCTTGGTTGGCCATTAGGGACGTCCATCATTCCCAAACCATCTGGCGTTAGCGCAGTAGCTTCCTCATCATTATCATCCTCATCTGCTGGTGTAAGCCTGCCTGGCACTCTTCACACACATACACACACACACACACACACACACACACACACACAAAATATGAGGATGAAATAGAAGAGTGTCCATGAGGCTAAGGCTTTCTTATGCAACAGAAATATTCAATAATTTATCTGTGTTCAGGGCTGCTTCTTGCTAAAAGCGATACAAACTTCCACAATAAGCTACTATTTGTATGCACATATATCTCAGAGTGTGTTCGGCTGTCCATTGACGTCGTGTCATTTCGAAAAGTTCGAAAAGATGTGGTGGCGCTTTACAGGTCTTGGAGGAAGCCTGTGCTTGCCTTCGCCCTCCTAGCGCTTGTAGTATCACGTGACTACGGGAGTCCTAACTAGTGGGTGGACTGAACTGGGAGAAAAACAAGTCCAAAATAACCCACACAATTTTCCACCTACCTCAGATGAAGTAGATCAGCCAAGACATGTTTGGAGTCCAAATTTTGCTTCTTTAGTTTAGAACTGGAGCTGTGAAGCTGATGCTGCTAACAAACACTAAAACTCAGCAGTCATCTAAACAGCCTTTATAATTTCAATAAAAGTACATAACCAGAACTTTCACATCCCTCAACTCAATCCCTCAGCAGCCATTTCAGTCAACAAAGTATGTGGTTATAGAGTTTTGGTTATTGTTTTTTTATAGAAACTACTTGGGCTATTTGGGCGACTACTGCGTTTTAGGCTATGTTAGCAACTTTAGCCTAAACTAAACTAGAATGAAGACTATGAACATGTCTTGACTGACTGACTACATCAAACACCAAACTACTCCTTTCAGGGGCTTTAGAATGCTATGGGTGCGTGTGTGTGTGTGTGTGTGTGTGTGTGTGTGTGTGTGTGTGTGTGTGCGTGCACACGTGTGTTTATATCAGCTAAAGTAACAGGTGGTGAGGAGAATCTGTATGTCCTTAAAGCTCCTCCAGCTGTAATCCTAATCACAGGTTTAACTCTCTCTCTCTCTATCTGTCTTTAACACACACGCACACTTACCAAGTCAATGTCAGATAAGCATTGTGACCGAGGGTCTGTCCACTGCACCTGCGCTCAGTATGCCATGTGCATATGGACGTGTGAAGATGTCCACTCTAGCTCCTTAGAGCAAACCTGAGAGAGAAAGAAAAACAACAGGTCACGACACGCAAATACTCAAGGTTCAGCTTCGATATGAACATTAATTTTAGCCAAATATTTTAAAGGATAATAATTCTTTTAGAATATAATGACCTACACTTAAAGAAAATGTTGGCTACAAAAATGCTGCTACATGGCGCCACATTCAGTGTTTCTTTCAGTGCTAATACTCATAACAGCCTACAGATTGTACCAATATGATACTGAGTATCTGTATCTGGCTAATCAGCAGAAATTGCTGGATCTGATACGGAAATGGGGGAAGAAAGAATGTTAACAGTTTTCCGAAGGGCAGCATTCATAAAGTTATATGACGCCCACTTAAGCCCATCATGACAACTGATACAAACCTACATAAACATTTATAAAGGCTTATTCCACCAATCATCAGTTATCATAAAGACTGGTTTTGACAATTTGTCATTGTCATTTCAAATTATGACTAACATTTTATAATTTATACATCTATAAATGTAACATTTATAAAATGTCAACATAGGATCAAGCCAGTTGCCATAAAAAGCTTATGTAAGTGTCATGAAGCCCTATGAACGCTGCCCTTCAGTAAAGTGTTGCTACAATATAATTCTGTAATAAATCCAGACTGAAATAGCACACACATGCTGTGATTTTGTTAGCTGTATATTTCTTCCTGTGGGGTTGTTGAGTGTTTGAGCATGATAGCCTGCTTTTACATGCTTATCTTAAGTGGTTTCATTACAAATAGCTTACAGTAGTTTTTAATTGAAAAAAAGCATTAGCATCGATCTGCACTCGAGGGTTCAACATCTTTATCAGAAAAGTGGTATACAGCCATTTCTAAACAGGTCTGGTGTGTTTAATGCAGTAGCCCTAATTCTAAACAGCAATATCCAGCTGCTGCCACAAGGTGGAGTCATGACTTCAGAAAAGTAAGATGCCTCCAGGCAGGCATAAAGGTTTAACAGCAGCTGCAGTGTGTGAACAAGAGCATGTGCTTGTAGGTCACGACTGTTGGAGGTCATCGAGTTTACAAAAGAAAGAACTTTTCAGAGTCGGCTGCATAGGTAGCCGACTGCATGGCAATATGATTTCATGATTTTCTAGAGGAAAACAAAACATCACATCTGGTACATCACTTAATTTGTCTTACAGCAAAAGAAAAATGCCACATACTTTAGAGCAGCTAAAGAAGGAGACCTCAGCGGTACATTCACTAGTCCACAAAACACAAGCGATATCAGCCGTGCCTGTGAAAATTGTATATTCTAAACTCATGACACGTGGAAACGCTGGCCCTGCACGAAACCTGCATTATAAGTCACATGCAAGCACTGCTGAAAATAATGATCAGACTGTCAGTGAGTCTACACATATTTGCACCTTCAATTTGTTGCTGCAATCTTCTGAGCATGAAACGACAACCTGCGGCTGTGAAGCATGCACACCTTTCAAGACTACAGACTGGTGATGTCTGTTCAGCATCCAGAGCTGTGAAATGCTCATTCACACCTAACTGAGCCCACAATGAGTTTCAAGAGCAAAAAAACATTGGTTACTTGGACACTTGATGTGGAGGACCACTGTGTAGGACCAGCGTGGAAAAAGGAAGAAAACTTTATTCTTTACCAGCACTTTTATGAGATGGGAAGCAAACGTCTGAAAAACCCTTTACAAACAAGAGTTTGGTTACAAATTATTGCTAGTGACTCTCAACAGCTCAAAAAAAAACAAAAAAAACAAAACATGTATGGCATCTGAAATTTGCTTCTTTAGTTTTGCACTGGAGCAAATCTAGCTAATGTAGATGACAAGTAATGGACGCATATATACCATCAATTAGAACTGTACAAACTGCATACCTTAATCATCACACCCTAAACCACATCTAGTTGTTAAGCAATCTCTAATAGACTTGCTTGTATGGATTCTGGCAATATATTGCATACTGTTATCCGGAAAAAATGAACATAAGCCAAGTTTTAATGCGGCAGTTTTTAAGAGATGCAACACACTTCTGTTCATTTAAATCATTTAAATCATTTAATTTTAGCTGAATTTTTGCTTTAATTCTAATTCTTTAGCATTGTAAATCCTACCTCCTACCTTCACAGCAAAGTACAAAACGTCAAAGAGATTGTTTCCAGGAATCTTCTGTCTTGCTGCTGGCAAACGTCCAATCTAGTTTCAACCCTAATCTAACCTAGTTTGCTCTTGGATTCAGATCCTCTGGAAGACCTTTATAATCTGGATCAGTTGTGGTAGATTACGGCTGGACTCTGCAGGATGCTAGCTCTCCAGGAGACACCCGATGCTCCGTCTTACTAATCCAAAACTTTTATTATGTCAAAAAGAAAGTAGTGGAGCGAAAAATATGGCGTAATTCGAGCACCATGGCACAGCACACGCTGACACAGGCCTAATATGGATTTGAGAGAGGAGAACATAGCATTTCCTAGGAGTTGCCATGACAATGAGAACTTGAGAGCTGTGCAGGAAAAAAAAATGCTCGTCATCTAGCAGACAGCAGGAAGCAAACCGCAGACTCTCTCAAAGCCTGGCCAAGGCAAGAGCGCCTGCTCGGTGGCTCTGAGGAGGCCCTTTCAGAATGCAAGGCTGGCGTTATTAGTAGCCAACTGATCAGCACTGCTTCTCTTCAGTTACTCTATTCCATTGAAAAGTGTTTTCTGTGCTCTAGCACACCTCCTTCAACTCAGGAGGGAACTGATTATTAGCTGATTAGTTGGATCAGGTGTTTTCGGATGAGGAAAAAAAGCTTTTATATATATACTTTTATATATATTTTATATATATATATATATATATATATATATATATATATATATATATATATATATATATATATATATAGTCTTATCAGTATCAGTGAGCCAATAAGCATGCTTGTTTTAAAATTCAGACGGGTGATAAGAATAGATTAATTTATGTAAAAATACTTGAAATTAAGAACATACAGAGTACATGGATCATGTATTTTTTTAATCAAAAAGTTTTTCTTTCTATAGTACAATATTTTTATCTACTTTTTTGTTTTTGTTTTTTTTTTAAAAGACGGTATCAAAAATGTCAGCAATCAGTGTCAAATTGGTCAGAAATCAGTGTCAAGGTACTGGACTTCGTTTGAGTATCAAAAATGTTTTTGAAAGCTACTGACCCTAACCTACTGTGATATTCAAGTATATGTTACAGTAAAGAAAGGACTGTGATGAAGGGAAAAACAAAAAGATTCCAGCTAATCTAACAAATAATTTTCCTCCAATGCAACGTATTTTTGTTGGGACACAATAGAGAGAAATAATTAACAAAAAAATGTTAACAGACACCATATTAGGCTACTTATTTTTCAACCTCATATCTACTTTACTTCCCACAATATAACTTAACAAACCCCTAAATAGTAGATAATGATTACACGACAGTGTGGTTTACAGCGCTCTGTAAATCTCTGCTATCATATGCACTATCCAACAGACTGCAATGCACTATGGCAAGCGTTGGGACAATATTCTATTCTATTGTTCTGTTTCAAGACAAAAATAAATCACTTGTTGCACTGACAGAACCTTAAATGACAGTGAGCTATGATGGGGACAAAGTGAGGAAATCACAGAAGGCGTGACCGTTTGTATCAATTAATCAAATAAGACTAAACAAAAAAATAGATTTGAGAACTGTGGTTAGTTGTAGTCCTGCCAAATACTGATTTTCTCAAATACCGGCACCTGGAACATTTAACAGAGTATTTACTTACCCCCACACACCCCCTATTATAAGGGGCTGGTGATGATCCTATGATTTAGGAATGCCTCACTGACTGTGAGCAGAAAGCATTCCAGGGCTTGGGCTGTCAGGACACATCCAGCATCACGTCTACCTCTGTGTTCTTCAGCTCAGGCACACAATACTCTCTCACTCTTAGGTCGCCCACTGAACCTGCTCATCCATCTTTCATCATCCTCTACATATCTCTCTGGTCCTGTCTTCCACCTTTTTGATTACCCTTCTTTATGTATGGTCATGGTGTACTTTTGATCTACTGCGACTCAGATACAACCTTTACAGGCTGTTATCTGCCAATTAGGCATAGGCAGATAGATTCTCTGGAACAAAGGATCAGTTAACAACACTAAAACTTGTTCCTCCATCTTTCATTCCACTGTAACTCTTGTTTCTCTTGCTCTCACACACACATGCACCATACACAGCTGCAGAAGCCCTGAGGGACGCTGATGATGAAAGACAGTAATATGGAAAAAATGACACTCATTCCTTTAGGGGTAGAGCGGATAGTCCATTTATGTCTTCAGTATGTTACTGTTTGCGTTTCCCCACGTCAAATCAATCATGAACATTTGTTTTTAACTAGCTATAAAGTTCATTCAGTGCAAAGCTTGCATTGGGGCTGACAAAAGAACATTTAACATTGAAACATTTGGTAAATTAGCACATTTGAATGTCCATTCAAATTTTTTTAAGCTACTACTGAGTTACCTAGCATGTTCCAAGCCAATTAGTTACTAACATCACAAACAATGACTATCAAACGGGGGAGGAAGAACACATCACTGCTGACCAAAAACAAACACAGTGAGCTAATAATCACCTAATATTTTGATGCTGTCAGAACAAAACTTTGCATCTCCTCGCAGCTCATTTTTCTCGTTTTTGATATAATTTGAAAATGCCTGTTGACCTTTACATTACGTGTAAGTTTCATGATGAATGGATCAAAATAAACAGCCCAAAATGACTTGGAAAATAGTCTGGTTCCATTGTCTTACATTAAGAGTCAAGTGCTTTTTTTCCTTCTCCTGTAAAGTTATCATTTTGGAGAGATGAGGTTTTTGTCACAATAGGCATATGCACGTTTTTTGATTATCATCTCACGCGCACCCTCGGGCTGAGAATCACTGGCTTGATAATGTATGCGGAGTGCCCCCTGGTGAACACACACACATACACACACACACACA